CCCGGGTCAGGACGCTGCTGATCCAGAAATAGTCGATCCTGGATTCTATGTCTCCGCTAACATACGTGGGTTCCAGTGGGGCCTTGATGGACATGCCGATTTTATCTAGGTCCGCATTCCCGACCATGTCGACCACGCTGATATTGCAACCCCCCACCGACCATGACTGGCAGGCCCGTGGAGTGGATGTCCTGCCCCAGCTTTCGGAGGATGCTTAGGTTGATGTCGTCAAAACCTACTCTGTCCTTTAAGTAAATGCTGTGCAAGCCTATGACTCCCAACTTCAGATGGCGGAGATAGCATTTGCATAGCCTGCCAGGCACCAGCAACTGCTGGGACTCATTGGGGATCCATGCATCCAAGTGAGCACGCACAAGTATGAGCACTCCTGACGACACTCCTCCATTCTTCGACGCGAATGCTGGGGCTCCAAATACTTTCCACCCTTTCTGCCAGAGGGAGGAGACGACGACCGAGTACCTGTGAGGTAAGAGCTTGTGCTCCTGAATAAGAAGCACGTCGACTGTCGAATCTGCTAGCTGGGGCAATATGTCTTCTGCTGTGCCCCACGACGATGCATTCAGCATACGAATCTCAAAACTGCTGATCTGCTCACTTTGGGACTGCCACTGCTGCTGCTGCCGCTGGCGCCGATGCCGCTGCCTCTGCGATGGTTGCGGCACATGGGGCTGAGGGCGGGGGCGGAATCCCAATTGGCTTTTGCTTTTTCCCAGAACTTCGAAAAGCACGTTGGACACCTGCAAGGAGTTCTGGTGAAAGATTGAGAGCATTGGCCAGATTCTCGTCCCCTGGGTCCAACGTGTCCGACGCCTTGCGTTTAACTCCTCCTGTGCCCTCCATCGGGGTTGGTTCTGGGACATTTGCCTGGTCAAACTTCTGGAGGAGCTGGTCACGGTCGGGATGGTTGAGGATAACTTGCTCCCAAATTCCCAGCCGACTGGTGAGGGTCTCGACTGTGGACTGGAGCTCCTCCTTCTCTGGATCCTCATACTCCTCCTCATCTTCGTCAAAGTCCTTCTCCTGATACTTCTGCCAAAATCCACCTTCCTCTGGTGAGTCTTTCTGCACTGACGTGACAATCTCAATGTCCAATCGGTCGATCTCACTCTGCACATGTTCTTTCTCCTCGAGCACCTCTTTCTTCCTCTTCTGCACTGCCTCCAACAACTCCTCAATATCCTCCTGCTCCTTCTCCAATGCTGCCAGCTCTGCTTGCTGCTGATCAAGCTGCCGGTCCACACGTAGCAGGCGCTTGGACTTAGGTAGGTCCTGTTCCTTGGAGCTGCGATAATCCTGCATGAGGGAGTCCAACTGGGGAATGAGGTGCTCAGGGATATCTGAACAATCCTTGGAGTGGGCATGCTGGACCAGGAGGTTGAGAAGGGTGGGCCCGTTGAGCTTAGGGCGGGGTGTGCCTCCTCCTCCTCCTCCTCCTCCTCCTCCTCCTCCTCCTCCTCCTCCTCCTCCTCCTCCTCCTCCTCCTTTGCCTTTTCCACACTCCCTTCGTGCACCCACTACCTCCCCAATGCAGGTCGTAGGGTTGGGAGGGGGGGGGGGGGGGTGAACTTTCCGTAGCCTTTGCCTTTGCCTTTGCCTTTTGTGGTACTGCCTTTGCCATTGCCTTTGGTCCTGGGTCCCTTTGTACCTTTCGGCCCACTCGAGAGGTCGGTGAAACGGGAAGCCCATTTGCCCATTGGGAATCTCCCCAGTGTAATAGCAGGCCCATGTAATAGACTTGCAGAGCAATGGTAACAGTAAGAATACCAGAACGGGTTCTTAGCATTCCCACATTGGAGGCACTTGACTGTCGCATGGCTGGCACGGCTCATAACTTGCGGGGTACGCTTGGGGTTGTTGGACGGGGCCAACGTTCGCTTGGGAGTTGAAGGGCTCCCACCCTGCAGTGCCGAAATGCGTCCAGACGCCTCCTTGGTCCGCAAACGGCGATATCTTGAGCCAAAATGGCTACGGACCCTCGTCCTCCTCCCCCTCCTCCTCCTCCTCGTCCTCCTCCTCCTCCTCGCCACGCGTGCCCGTCACCCACGCACAGGCCGCCCCTTTAGTGCCCGTGTGCGCTCTCGGCACGCAGCCCCCCCTGTGGTTCTCGCTGCTTTGCGGGGGGCGTCGTGGCGTGCTGGAGCTGCGCTCTGCTCCCTACAGGGCAGTTTTTGATACATCGGATGTTCAAGCATATAGGATGTTGAATACATGGTTAATGTATGAATGCATGCATGCATGAACTCATCGTTGTTTTTAATACTGAATCCCTGCACTTTTAAGACATGATCCGCACGCGGAGCATGTATTAAAAGCGGCACTGTAGCCTTCCTCGCAGCAGTGCAGCTTCTGCGCTCCTCTGCCGAAAGGGGCGTCTGGTCACCAGGCGCCCCCTCGTCGCGCGGGGCCTCCCTCTGCGCCCAGCCGGCCCCCCTCCCCCTCGCCACGCCCGTCCCTGCCCGGTGCTCCCTGCCCGCGGTCCCTCCCCGGCCCTCCCGTTCCTGGTCGCCGCCCTCCCGCGGAAGGGCATCCAGGGGGGGGGGGGGGCGGGGCGCCCGCCCCCGGCCCCCGCGGGGGGAGGCTGGCGGAGAGCGGCAGGGATCGCCCCGCGGGGACAAAGGAGAGGGAACGGACGACGAGGGCAGAAGGAGGGCAGAAGTAGGGGAACAAAAAGTGGCATGAACATGAAAAACTCGGAGCTCCGCGCGGATTTCTCGGATCGGCGCTGAACCCCCCTCCCTGGCGCGCGGAGCGCGCCAGGGGCGGCGCCGGAGGCGCCGCCGGGAGGCCCCAGCGCCGATCCGAGAAATCCGCGCGGACCTCCGAATTTTTATGTTCATGTCACTTTTTGTTCCCCTGAGAAGGGGGAGGACGAGTGCGGATAGAGAGGACGAATATGACGGGTGGAAGACGCAAGGGCGACGCTCTGAGAGGGGCGCGGCCATACCCCAGACGGTGTTGAACAATATCAAGAAAAACGTCTGGAGGTTCTTCTTGTCCTCTGCGGCGGGAGGTATCCAAACGACCCCGCTCCCGGTTCGTTCGGACATGTGCAGCTCCCGCATGACGAACTGCCCCCCTCCCACGATATCGAAGCTATTCGTTCTAATGTAACCAATCCCCATGTAGTCCAGAAAATGACACACCATGGGGGGGAGCTGTCGGCGATAAACATGCAGATTGCTGCGGTCAGGAGCTTTTGGCGCACACCGTCTTCCTGCTCTGGAATGCCATGTCCTCCAATATTCCCCCTGTTCCGCCATTACTGCATTCCGTGACCCGCCACCGTGCCGCAGGCACTGGCTAGCTAAAGTGTCTTCATGTCCCTTCGACTTCTCCGCGTGGAATATTCTGAATACTTTCAGTGGCGCAGAGGCCCTACGGACGGGGCGTCTCGCATGGCTTCTGGGGTGTACCGCCTCGAGTTCTCCCGAGGTCAGAGCCGCCCCAAGAGGGCCTCAAGACGGCCTGCGAGCGTTCCGAGTCGGCCCAGGAGGGCCCCAATTTGGCCCAAGATGCAGCCGAGAAAGCCCAATTCGCCTCCAGGGCACCCGAGAGGGCCGCAGGAAGACCCCTCAAGCCGAAATGCATGGTTTCGCTATGGCTGTTGAACTACATCGGGTCGCTCGCGCTTTCGAGCTTCCGGGCCCCCCGGGTGCCCCCAAGAGAAGCCCAAGGCGGCCTGCGAGGGCCCAGAGACGGCCCAAGGGGCCCCCAAGATGGCCCAAATAAGCCCCCAAGGGGCCCCAAGGGAGGACCAAGAGAGGGAACGCGAAAGGGCCCTGGGAGCACTTCCCCCGACTGCTGCGATCCCAATATGCCCCCCGGGAGCACCCCGGAAGCGCCCAAGGGGCCTCCAAGAGGCCCCCAGAAAGCCCCCAAGAGGCTCCAGAAGACCCCTCAAGAAGCTAAGAGGCTTCGGGGGGCATCCCCAGGAGACCCCAGCGGGCATCCAGGCTGCCTCTAGCCTGCAGCGGGCACGGTGGCAGCCTTGGCCGACAGCCATTGCGGCGAGCTCGTATCGTGCCGACTTCGGCGTTGGTTTCTGGCACTGCATAGATCGTTCGACCTCCAGCGATCGGAAGCTTCTCGATCGCTAGATCGTTCCATAATGGCCGACTCCGGGACACTGGCGGCGTGCGCGGGGTCGCTGCCGCGTCGGCACGACACGAACCTATCGCAGATACCTCTTCTGATACATTCCAGTAGGAGTAATGATACGTGTAACTGTGATCATAGATGTATACACTTCCATGCATCCATGCACGTGCGTATGTGTACATAGATGTACAGCTTTGTATTATATAGGCATCTATATATATATATATATACGTATACGTCTGTATACTCAAGCAAGCGTGTCCACGGCTGGGAGCACGCGGTGCAGGTACACGGCGTTGTACGCAAAGCCCTCGTACAAGAAGACCTTGGCCCTCCGCCCGATCACCACCTTCAGACCCCTCATTACCCTCATCCTCGACATCATCGTCATGCTCGTCGCGATGCCCTTTCGCAGTCTCATGCCCATGCTTAACCCCACCCGCGTCCTCTCTCTCGTCCTCACCTCACCCTCGCCATCCCCATACCTCACCATCACGATCATCCCCGTGACCACGCCTGCACCCCCCTCTCACAATCCTAGACCATCATCGGCATCAGAATTCCCACCCCCGGCCCCATCTCCGTCGCCGCCCAGTTCCTCTCCACCCCTCCCTGTCCCTGGGGCTGTTGGTGTCCTTGTGGTAGCTTTGCGCCGGGGGTCCCAGGTGCTGATGTTGAAGAAGTCGGCGTGGAATTGGCGGCGAGCCCTCTTCCTGCTCGCCTTCTTTGCGACGAGGCGGAGGCGGCGGAGGAGGAGGAGGAGGAGGAGGAGGAGGAGGAGGAGGGGGAGGGGGAGGAGGAGGAGGAGGAGGAGGAGGAGGAGGAGGAGGAGGAGGAGGAGCCCTGGGGACTCGCCAAACTTGCACCTCTTCGACTGAGACCTCGGCTCGCTTGGCCTGGGCAGCCTTGTCCCTCGCCTGCTCGGTGTGTGCATCCGCTCTGGCTCGGCGTTGTTCGTCTTTGCTGCCTGCACCCGTGTCTGGCTTGGCTGCTTCGCTCGTGGCCGTTGCCTCCGCGGTGCCGGCGGGCCTGGCCGAGGCTGCTGCTCCTGCACCCGCCGACTTCCCTGCGGACTCTCGCTGCGGCGCTGGGCTCGGACAGGGCCTCTTTTCTGGCGAGCCCTTCGAGCGTTCTGCCTGGTCTGCTGCTGCTTCGGGCTGGCGCTTTAGGCGGGCCTGCTCAATCTGCCGCAGCTGCTCCTGGTGCTTGGCCGTCTCCTCCGCCATGTACTGCAGGTGCTTTGCCGTCTCCGCCTCCTGCTCCCTGACTTTGTTGGCCATGGCTTCGCCCTTCGCTTTCGCTGCCCGCCAGACTTCTTTCTCTGGCTCTGCCCACTTGTGGAAGTCGTCGGGCTCTTTCTCACACTGCTCCAGGAGGGCGGCCAGGACGGGATTGTCGGCTGTTGCTGTGCCAGCTGGTTCTGGGTCTGGCCTGTTGACTTGGGCCTTGAGCGTGTCGAACTCCTCCTCTGCTGCGATTACCTGCTCTGTTGCCTCGTCCAGCTTGCGTTCACTGTCTGCCAGATGCTGCTTGGCGCATTCGACCGCTTTACCTGCTGCTCGCACCTTCCTCTGGAACTTGTCCAGTCGTCTGGCTGCAGCTTCCACTGCCTTGGGTCCGACTGGTGGTGCGGCTGCTGCTTTCTGGGAAGCCACCAGCTCTGGCCAGATCGCCTCATAGTGAGCGCGGAGGGGGTCGTCCTTGGAGAGCTTGTTGTACGCTGTGGTTGCGGCGGTCTGGAGGGTAACTGAGAGGCCCTGCTGCTGCTGGTCTCCTCGCCCCTTGCCTGCTCCTCCTGGCTGCCAGCCGTTCGCCCACGAGACCCTCGGTGCCCCGCTGCCTACTGCGCTTCCCCACGGGGGGGGGGGGGGGGGCTTGCTGCCGTCATCATCCTGGAAGGTGTGGCCCTCTGGCACGAGATGGGCGAAGCTGGCGCCGCAGATGCAGGCGTCGTCCTCACTGGTGACGCTCCTGCAGTTGCGCCACCTGCCGCACTCGGCGCACACCACATCGCTGCTGCGAGGAGGACGGCTGCCGCTGCCGCTCCTCCCGCTCCTCCATGGATCCCTCTGGCCATCCGGAGCCCCCCGCCCGGGCGCTGCCCGCCCCGGCGTCCGCAGCCGCCGTGCCCCCATGGCTGCTGCGGTGCCGCGCGCGCGCGCGCCCGACGCCCGTCGGAAGGCAGCCATCGGTCCAGAGGCCCCCCTGCGGCCTGGAGGCTGGGCAGCTGGGAGGAAGAGGAGGAGGAGGAGCAGGAGGAGGAGGAGGAGGAGGAGGGGGAGGAGGAGGAGGGGGAGGAGGAGGAGGAGGGGGAGGAGGACGAGGAGGAGGAGGAGGACGGACCGTAGCCATTTTGGCTCAAGCCATTTTGGCTCAAGCAGGGCCCAAAGATTTGGAGCACAGCGCTCCTGGGCAACACGACCGCCCTGGCCAAGTTCCTTGCCAGGCTCACCGCATTCCTCTTTCTTTCTGCTCCCGCTGCGGAGCCTCAGTCAGCAGGTTCCGTTGATGGCGCCATGGATGTGCGCATGGCAGTGCAGACGCGGGCAGCAGAACTGGAATATGTCGGTGAACTGCGTCAAGTGCAACGGTCATTGGAAGTCTTCAAAGAAAGAGAACGGCACCAACAATCCCAAGGGCCGCCAGAGATCCAAGAGCCAGAAGAGCCAGAGATCAGCATCAGAGTCACGCCCATGGGAAGACGAGACGAAGCCCAATGGTGCCCCATACGTACGAATGGCGACCCCTGCAGAAGCACAGGCTCATCCAGATTATCGTCCCTTGAGCTCGCGTGCTACCGAGTCGGAGAAGACAGAGTACTACCGAGAGACACGCTCCAGGCTGAACCTGTTCCAGCAGAGGTACAACCTAGCGTGGGCCATGAGAGAGCCAGTGCAGGAGCTCGCCACATACATTTCCATATTGAGAAGAATGTTGATATCGGAGAAGAGTTTACATCAGCAGAGCGCTTGGACGGAGACCACGATTGCCAGGATGATGCTGCGCGTGGAAGCAGCCAACAAAGAAGTCGCCTCGCTCAAAGACCACCTCCAAGCGAAGATCAACGTCAGAGACAACCTGCAGGACCAGCTGGACGCGCTGAAGCGCACCAAGATGGAGATCCACCAGCTCATGGAGGCAGAGAAGCAGCAGAAGGAGCTGGAGAGCAGCACGGACATGGACGAGGACAAGCCGAGCCAGGGCGTGGTGGTCTTCCCCGAGCGCCCGTTGGAGGAGACCCCACCAGGCGCGGCCTCTTCACCAGCATCGACCCCGGCTGCGTCCACCGCAGGTACCGCACCGTCGAGCGCGAGCATACAGCAGGCGGTCCAGCAGCAGGTCGAGGCACAACTGAAGCCCATGGCAGACCAGATGATGCAGATGCAGCAAATGATGGAGGCCATGATGATGCGAGACGCGGTGCGCTCATCAGCATCAGTGGCGACGGCATCTGGACACTTCCCAGCGCCAGCGCCGCCACAGCCGCCATCACCACCGACTGCAGCCCCCAGATCACCACCATCGTTGACGCCGACGCAGCCATGTACCCCGATACCGATGATGGAGACCACGGCGCAGGACACGACTGCGGGATGGATCACGGTGAAGGAGCGGGCCGCAGCATTCGAGAGCGGTTCCGAGGGCGGACAGTTTTCGCTCGGGCCGCGGCAGCGCAGCAGCCAGAGGACGTCAGCATCGCGGAGTCCAAGCGTCCGCACCCAGAGATCGAGAGCGCCAGGATCCTCCAGGCGGCCCGCCAACGACAAGGGCAAGTCGAGGACGGCGATGGCAGCTTTCCGCAAGCCACAGAGACGATCGGACATCGAGGCGGTCGCCAAGTCAGCAGAGGATCACCGAGTACCGAGCAGCGACGCCGCCCAGATGGATCCCTACGCGGAGAGCGAGTACTGAGCCTACACGGCTATGAGGGGGTGTCGGATGGGGAGAGCCCGACACCCAACAACATGCATGTAGACTCTAGCGAGCACACACCGCCACCCCAGCGCTGCCGCGCTGAATTCGATAGGCCCAGGTCTAAGGTGGCATTCGCCACGACCGTGCCTTTTCACTTATACGATCCCTCCTCCGCCTCCTCCTCTCCTCCCGATGGTGGGTTGGGCAGTTCGGAGGCGCGGACCCCAGATGCTCTTGGGTGTTCGGGGGTTGGAGGTCGCACGGGCCCGCAGGTCCTTGACCTTGATAGTCGGATCCCGATCGAGGTCGCGATCGTGGGTGATGATCCTACCGACTCGATCAGCTGTAAATTGGGACAGATAGGATTGCTCACACGCCTTCAACAGGAAGGGCGCCAGATAGACCTTGAGTTAGATGTTAACAGAGTGGGCTTGCACGCCCACGCGCAGCTTGGCTTGGACATGTGCCCGACTAGCGAGCACGTCGCCGGCCAGATTTCAATCTTCGTCGACGGGTCCTTCGACGAACAGGACCCTAGCACAGCGGCCTGGGCGATGGCCGTGGTGGCCAAGGACAGAGCAGGAACCTTTTCTTTTCTGGGGGTTAAGACAGGGAAGGTCGTCTCATCCGTTGGCGTTTCTTTGGATACCACTCGTTTTAGCAGCACGACGCCTGAGATGGGGGGCATCCTCTGGGCGCTGCTTTGGATCGGGCTCCTGGGACAGCACGAGGCTGAGGGGTTTGTCATCGAATCTGATTCTGTTTCCGCGATGCAGATTGCTGAAGGATCTGCTCAATCCACTGCCCACCCCGAGTTCGGCACTATGCTGCGCCACTTGGTCGTGGACCTGCGAGCGAGGTATGACCTCACGTTTCGCCATGTCCCGTCCCACACGGCCCATCCTTGGAACGAGTTAGTCGATGGTCTCTCTAAGCGTAGGCGAACGGACTCCGAAGTTCGTGACCCTGGCTGGGCGAAGCTCTTGGCCCCTGCGGTGGGAGATGCCTGGTCGTGGGTTACCGAGCTGGAAGCCGATCGCAGCGCGTACCCCGAGATCACCGAACATGATGGACAGGTCAGTTTCAACACCCCCGTGCGCACATATGCGACGGGATACCCATACCACTTTTCACCCGTTGGACAAGAAGGCGGGCTAGACCCCCAAGGAAATGGCTGGTGATCTTACTCTCAATGTTGCGACTTTTAATGCGATGTCCATGCTCGAGGATACCAAAAGACAGCAGCGCAGACACAACGCTAAATTGGTCAGAAAGCAGTTTCACGAGCAGGGCATCCAGGTCCTCGGAATCCAAGAAGCGCGGGCCCCTGAAGGGACCAGGGCCGCCGACGGCTACTACATACTTGCCTCTGGAGGCGGCGGGAAAAATTTCGGTGTGGAGGCCTGCTTTTCGTTGACCCTTCCGTATATGACTCACCGAGGCCTCCCAAAGTACTTCCAGAAAAGCCACTTTCTCGTCACGCATAAGGATATCCGCAGGATCGTTGTGCAAGTCCGCGCGCCAGGACATTTCAAGTTCATGGTCCTGCACGCTCCCTATCAGGACGCGCAGAGCAGGACCATCGACACTGGCGCTCTTCTGAGGTGGTGGGGGGAGACTACCGCGATAGCTCAACGGATGTCGGTCGACGTCGTGTCTGTCGATGCTAATGCGCGTGTCGGTAGCATGTCGTCTACCGCTGTCGGGGTTGGAGGATGGGCGGAGGAAGAGAATGTCTCGGGTACTTGTTTTCACCAGTTCGTGTGCGAGCTCGGCCCCGACGTCCCCTCTACCTTCTCTGACCCCAGTTGGAGCAGGGACACTGAGCCCAGCGGTTTCACTTTTGTGAAGAATGGTGCCTGCCACAGGATCGAGTGCGTTCTTGTGAAACCCCACTTTGCGCCAGCCATCGTTTTCGAACAAGTGTGGAGTGATCTCGACGATCTGATGGAGGTCAGTGATCATTTCCCTGCTGTGCTGGGAATGGCGTGGGCAATCCACGACAGCCCAGATCCGAGTCGCCGAAGTGAGGTTAGCAGGCCGAGATACAACCGTAAGTTGGCCAAAAAAAGCATAGAGTTGGGATGTTTAAGTCGCTCTTGTGTATCATCCCCCTGATGCCATGGTCGACCGACATCAACAAACATTACAGCCAGGTTCAGGAGCAAATACTTTGGGCGGCTGCTGCCGCCTTCCCTGTCCAGGAAGTCTATCCGAGGAAGCCCTGCACAGATCAGCTCACTCTCTATTTCGTCAAGTGGAGACGAAAGAACAAGGCCGTCCTTCGTGCTGCCCCTGACAAAGGAGCCCAAGCGATGTACAACTGGGCCAACACTCTAGTTCTGCCATGCCATACCCCTGATTTTGAGTGTGGTGAAGAGGCACACAGCCCCCTCATCTCTTTTGAGGCCTGTCTGTGGGAGCTTAGGCTCGCTGCCTTGGCCTTCTTGGAACTTTTGGACCTCGATTCCTGGGGCGGGGCGCTTAGGGGCTTCCTCTCCGCCACGGCTGGACTGCTCAAAAAGAAGTTGGACATTGATAAGACTGACACCCTTGAACGGATAGTCAGCGAGATGAGCGAGGCTATCGAGGATGGAAATGCTAAGAAAGAATGGCAGATTGGTAGATCCCTTCAGGCTTTCGGTGGACGTATGATGAAACTCCAGAGTGGTGCTCTTCCCATCCGTAACGGCCCCGACGGGTGTCTCCTTCAGACGAAAGCCGAGGTGGCTGATTCGGTTCAAGCTTATTTTGCTGGCATTGAAGGCGGGGCCCTGTGCACCGAAAGAGAACTTTGCGTCAAGTATAGCGAAGATAATCGTGATCGCCCCCCCCCTCCTTGAGTGCCCCGCTGAAAATCTGATGACTCGGGACCAACTTCGTTTCTCGTTCTCGCAGGCCACCTCAGGCAAGGCTGGAGGACCTGATGACGTCGTTGATGATCTGTTGCGCTGCGTTCCCGCCGAGACTGCTCGTCTGGCACACCCGGTCATCTTAAAGGCGGGCATGCACACTCAGGAGCCTCTTGCATTCAAGGGTGGGTGGGCTCATGACTTGTATAAGAACAGTGGCAGCGCGGCGATGCACGGGAGCTATCGCCAAATACTTCTTATGAACAATGTTGCCAAGCACCATCACAAGTTTTT